GGAAATGATTTTTTTTTTCCATTTCCCATGGAAAAACAAGGGTATCAAATAGGCATTTAGTTTTGAAAATTTCTTTTTATTTGTTTTTAATTATTTTTATTTTTGTATATTTTGGCTAAGCCCCACAATTTTAATCTATTTTGTGTTTGTATTCTCTCCCTGTACTTTTAAGATATTTACATGATTCTAACTTAGTGAAAATCGAAACTTTTGCAATGGATAATCTCCATTTTGACTATGGATATATGCTTGAAGGTCCAAGATGTGATATTTGTCAAGTGATGTATTGTATAGGGCAATGCTTGTTTTCATGCACCGATACCTCAATTTCAAAGCTAGTTTGGTTCAGACAATATTTGAAATGTCATAAACAAACACTGGATAATTTTGATGATAGTTACAGGCTCGTGGGAGATTATGTACCTGATGATTGGGATGATGACATCAAACTTTCTAAAGATGGTCCTCCATTTTTGAACAAGCGAGTATTTGCAAAGTATTACAATGAACTTGCCAAGTTAAATGAAGAAAACATGTTAGTGGGAGATTACAAATATTAGAATGGATTTCAAAAGTAGGGGTATAATCCACTCAATGGGGTTAATAGGAAAGACTTGTCATTGCCCGTGGAGTTAGATGACGGACTAATTATTTAATCCAAAGATGAGTCAACTATTGAAGAAAAGCTTGAAGATAATGAAGAATCAATCACAATTGAGCTAAATGAAGATGTGGCAATCAATAAGGAGAAAATTGACTTAAATTCTTTTAACTTGGTTGATTACCAAGATATTGATTTTGTGATTAAGCCCGATAAGAAAATAGAAATCTTCATAGTTGAATTTGAATGGAATGGAATCGAAGGCAAGTCATATTATATGAAAAGGGACAATGTTGAGTTTTGGAGATCTAATGAAGAGTGGATCAAAGCCAAAAGAAGAAAAATGGACAAGGGATCTAAAGCCTTCTTTGGGTACCCATGATTCAATTGCAAAAGTCGAGGTAAACACTATAAAAAAAAAAAGGTTTGTTGGGAGGCAACCAAACTTTTTAAATTTTAAGCTTTTTATTTACTTTTTATGTTTTTATCTAATTAGCTATCATTTTCTGTAGGAACTTTTTGAAGTCCCACATATACATGGTTCCTCACAAGTTTGGGAATAAATTGGTGTATAAGAGGTCACTTGTCCAAGTTCATTGAGAGCATCCCAAGTCCAAGTCAAGCATTGGGACCTCTTCACAAATGTCCAACTGAGGAAGTTTCGTTATCACTCTCCTATTTATTTTGTTCTTTAGACATTGAGGACAATGTGTGATTTAAGTGTAGAGGTAATTGTGCTTAAATTGGTAATATTGTGTTGACATGTTAGATGGCTTTATCGGCTTAGGATTGCTTGATGTTTGAAATTTTTATTGATTCATAAGCTATGCGAGACCAAATATTTTATTTGTGCCTAATTTTTTTGAATTGCTTATCCATTTTAAGATCTTGAATTACTTTGAGCGTAATAGTCATGATTAATTGTTATCTAGATGTGGAAAATTTTTGATTGATGGAGAGATTTTTGAATTGGCTGAACTAGGTTGTGAGTTGTTTGAAAATTTATATTAACCTATGCTCTCTTTTCTTTCACTTAATCATATTGTGATATAAGTTTGGGGGTGGTCAAGCCGATGAAGGATATTATCTTGAAGTGTGTGATTTCGTGCATGTTGAAAATACTTGTGTGGAGTGTCTTTTGCCGAGTATAAGCTAGGTAATGACCATATGCTAGTGATCTAAGCCCCATTTTTGTTGCGCTAAAGAAAAAAAAAACAAAAAAAAAGTCATTGCACTTGTTGAATCTTGGATCTCATTCTGTAGCCTTTTTAACTCGAGTTATTAAGTTCATATGGGTTCCTTGAAACCCGATACCCTTTGGAGTAAACAACCGAGGAGTTATCTACCTAAAGCTCGCTACAAGGGTCAAAAACAAAGTTTAAGGGAGTGAGGTACAACATGGGATTTGACTTAAAAAAAAAAGACGAAAAAAATGTTATTGTTGTGCAATTGTTATTGATATTTGGGCTTAGATAACTAGTGTGTTTGAATTACTTAGTATAAGTTTGAATGTGGAAACACTCATTAATGGAGAATCATTACATAACTAGAGATTGATATTGCCGATTAGACCCAACCAAACTAGAGTAGAAAAAAGAAATGAGTGATTGAGAACAACCTTAGATTTACATCTCGGGAAGTAAAAGAAATATCTATTTTAGTATGAATATCCCAAGTGAGAAATGAAACATTTGACCACAAAGGGTTGGGTTGGAGCAAATTTGAAGATTTTTCCATTTTGACAACTTTTTTCCTAATTTAGATAACGATTGAAAGTGACTTTGCGCGCGCGCGCGCACACACACACACAAATCAAACATTGGATAAGTTCAAATTATTTGTGGTAGCATTATTTGGAGCATATTCATAATTGATAATACAATTTTACACTCATTGATATTTTTGGCAAGCTATCTAATGTGTTGATCTTTATTTTATTTTACATGATTGTGTTAGTAGATAATCTTGCCTGGGACGAGCAAGAACTTAAGTTTGGGGGTATTTGATAATTGTATTTTTACACACTTATTTAATATCTAAATATGTTATTTATTAATAAAATGAATGGAATTCTACTAACAATTGTGTAATATTTACTTTTGTTGGCTAAAAATCACCCAAGTAAAGAGAACTAGGTGAAAGGAAGTGAAAAGGGTCCAAATACGTACAAAATTGTGAAGTTGGGGACGAAAAAGCAAAGTGTCGAAAGTACAAGGACACGGGGTTACAATTATTGGAGGGCGTAATTGATATAAAAGTCAAAATTTGTGGACAAATTGTACAATATCATAGTTGAGGGACTTGGCACGCAATTTCCTAACAGACTAAGCTGCAAAAAAGGGAAAAAGGCATCTGGCAACGCAGTGCCACGGCTCTCGTTTCAGCTCCGGGGACTGTTTTTAATTATGTTTAAAAAGCCCAGGGACTTGAGCTGCAATTTCTCTACGTTTTGATATAAAAATCAAAATTTAGCAACTAGGTTTGATCGAATTTTTGAGCTCCCAGCCGTCACCTGCTTCTTCCTCTTTTATTTCTCTTTTTCTTTCTTTTCTTTTCCTTAGTATTTTTTGGGGCATAATTTAGAGCACAAGGAGATTCAACTAAGGATTTGACAAAGTTTTGGGGAAATCAAGAGCAAGCTCGAAAAGAGGTTTTATCTCTACCTCGTATTTTATCAATTATTTTGTCAAACTTGCAATGTATTGTCTAAAACATTCTCCCTTTTATCATCTATATAAAATGGGTTAAGTTATTTGTGTTGGGATTTATGGTTGTAGTTTAGCCTTGATTAATTTTAATATTTGCCATTTGATATTAATTTGCTTATTTTCATGTGTTTCTACTATTGTAATTATTGTATTTTCATTTAGTGGCCAAATGAATGATTATATTGAGTGATTTGTCTATCGTTCGAGAGAAGATTGTGCATTTTAGATCAAATAGTAGAAATCTTAGGTTTATGTAAAGGATTGAGATATACCCCTAACCTTAGGTGATCCTTTGTGTTATTTTCATAAATATTTAATCCAATTGTTTGGTTTTAATCGACGTAGAGATATAGTAGATTAAACCAATCAATTAGGATTAATTTCGCTCGAGAGAGGTAATTAACTAAAATTGACAAATCGAATCTAACATTGTAAATGAGTAATTTGTTAGTTGACATGTTGAGAAATTAATTAGGCGACGGTTAAGCGAAAACTATGAATCCCAACCACGTTTGCTTCCAAAAATTCCCAAGACTTTTATATTTTCTTATTTTGTAAATTTTTAGTTATTTTTCCAAAATCATAATTTTCTTGTGTGTTTATTTTTATTGTTGGAATTGAATTAATTAAAGTAGTGTAATCTAAAGTATACATTTCTCAAGAGATCGACAATCCGAACTCAAAAAGTCCGCTTTATTATTTGAACGCGACCAGTACACTTGTGGTATGCACTAGCGAAAATTGAGCTGTTAAATTTACACTGCTTTCATTCTTGGCAATGCTTATAATCATTTGTGCAGATATAAGAACAATTGAAGTGCTCTGCACACACATGAAGTTTGAGAAGAGAATTTGTAGAGTTGGCAAGATAATATTGGTGGTTCCATCCACAAAAGGGGCTCGAAAATGTTTGTCACTTTTTAAGTGATTATAATTTTTATTTTTTTATTGCCATCACTTCCAACTTCTATGTTTAATTAATAGAATTGAAACATAATCACAGAGTGACAACATGTAGAAAAAAATTAACCACCCCTAGATTTATTTGATATTTTGATTGGTGTTTGTCACTTTTTTGAATTTTTATCACTTAATTGAGTTGTTTCTATATTTAATGCCATTGAAATAAAGATCATTTAATCTTTTTGAAGTATGTATTTATTATTAGTTCATTTAAGTATAATTTAATAGGATATAACATACTGAAATAAAGTTCTTCTTGTCGATGATTTTATAAGAAAAATAAAGTTACGTTTTCATTAAAAAGTGACATAGCATATTGTGCCCCAATTTTAATTCAAAGTTGCACACAATCAATTTATAATAGGCAATAATCATTGGCTAAGCTTTCAATTTATTTATAAGAATTTCTTTTAAATGTTAATTTAATTTGTATTGTGTTAAGTGTGAATTAAGTTTCCAGGATGGGAAAGTGACACTGTAACTTTTAATTAAAAAGTCCCACTGGACTTTACACAATTTTTTTTTACTTTGAACACTCTTTTCATAGAATTTTTTGAAAGGCCATTGATTGAATGAGCATTTTTTAAGTTTCTCAGAAAGAAGATTTGCAAGAGCCCAACCCAGGTAAAAGCCCAAACTGTAATCTTCATAGTTTTAGGTTTCCCTATAATTTTTCTTGTAAAAATTACACCTACTCATAGATTTCAACTTTTAATTTCAAAAATCAAATTTACAATTTATTTATAAAATTCAGATCATAATTCAACTTTTTAATATTAATAATATTATTAAATTTAATTAATCTACCACCTCTATCTCAACCCCTGCCCACCCTCCCTCCCCACAAAACCTAATCATTTAAAAATACTATCCATCATCCCTGTTGCTGCTTCATTTCTCCCACAAATGACTTTTCACGGTGCAACCACTTCGACAAATCTTCAAGGGATAGCAGTGATGCTCTTTCATGTGCAATACCTTTTCTTTGTATTCATAGTCACTGTGCGCTAGGCGCCCCGCCGTTGCTTCATGCCTCTGGCGTTCCTCCATGTGTAGTAGTACAATGTCGCCATGAGCAGTATGGATATGTTATTTTTTTTTTTGAATTTTTGTTTCTCTGAATGATCGATGGTTTTATTTGTGCTTTTTGCAAAGGTTTAGGGTGGTTGTGATCATCGCTGGGTGAAGCAGGCAACGGCAATTGTGAGGTGCCGTGGTGGTTTTGCATAAGTTCAGATAATTACGCTGTGGTGTAACTGCGATGCCGTGGTGGTGTGATGTGCAATGTAGATGAGGTTTTGTATGCAATTACAGGGAAATGCATAGCAGAAGTAAAGTACACTAGACTCTTTTATACTCTTCTGTGGACTTTTCTTTCCTTCTACTTATCTTGATTTCTTTTCCCTTTGTAGCTGGAAGGATATCGAGTATACTCTCCTCCCTGTCACACACACATACATGTGCACATATATCACTTGAATTTAGTTTCTAAGTGTGCTTTTAAGTGATCAACTTCCCCATATATGCAATAAGAAACTCCATATTCGCAACAACTAGAAATTGCATTGATGATAGTGCAAAAGTTTTCCGCTATAAATTGTATGCTTGTATGATACCTTCTGGAAAGTGTTGACCTCAAATCTTATGCTCTTGACATGGCCAACAAATCACAAGGCCTTTCACATCCACACAAGTCTAATTCATGTACACTTGGACAAACCGTTAGCCACATGTAGTTTCCTCTGGTAGGGTTGGCATTGGCCGCGCACACTCTGAAGGTCAAGTCACTGATGAAATAATGTAACGAAGTTATGGTTCAAGATTATAAACTTGCATTACCTTAAAGTGGTACTAGATGTAAACTTTTTATAGTAAAAAAAGATAAATAAGAGTCATTGGATAAAGAGGCACGTGACCTCATCCGTGCAGCTAGTGCCTCTTATCAGAGACGTCAATCAATCATAAGTATTAAATGCTATGCCATTTTATTGTCCATAATTCATAGCTTGCAGCTTTAGACTTGACCTATTTGGTTGGAAACGGTGACTGTAGCAGTGAAATATCACATCAATCACATACCAAGGCTTGCTTGAAAGATCTCGTGTCAAGCATGTTGATGCAATTGAAGCCTATTGTGAGGTTGAATAAAGAAAAGGCGAGGGCCTTGTAAAGAAGGCGAACCTATTGATGTAGTTGAAGCACGTAGTGAGGCTGAATAAAGCAAAAGCGAGGTCCTTGCCAAGAGGGCGAGCCTATTGATGTAGTTGAAACCTATTATAAGGCTGAATAAGCGAAGGCGAGGCCCTTAAAAAGAAGGCGAGTACCTTACAAAGAAGGCGAGTCTGATGATGTAGTTGAAGCCTGTAGTATGACTGAATAAAGTGAAAGTGAGGTCCTTGCTCAATTGGAATTGGATGAGCTCTGTTGGGGCTAGATAAGATGCTTTCATTTTTTACACCAAAGGAGGAACAATATAAGGATTAGAATGCCCTATCACAGATACATCTTCATCTTACAAATTAAATTCTTCAAGACGTGGTAAAGATGAATAATATTTCTCATTATGATTTAAGTTGGAGCAATTATGCATGACTTGGAGTCTAACCAGCAAAATGAATCTAAAGTAGTAAGGAAATCGTCTCTAATTTGGAGACCATGGAAGTCAAGTACGATGAAGAGGACTTAGTGTTGATTTTGCTATGTTCATTGTCGGCTTCATATATGACATTCAGGATGCCATCTTTTGTATAGTCGAGATACATTCACCATTGACAAGGTTTATGACGCATAGAACATAAAACAGCTGATCGTCAGATCAAAGGCCCAGGGCAGAGGGTTTTATTGTTCATGATAGGGAATTGGGTGGTGATGGAATGGAGATGTCTATGGCTAATGATGTGATATAGTCTGTTATTTTTATAAGAAGAAAAGACTACCCAAAGTGGCAGAAAATGAATAAAATCGTTGTACAGATCAGAAGGGATAACCTGGTAATTTCGGTGAAACTAGCATTGTATAAGATGACTACTATGATGGAGATCTCTTGGGTATTTTTGATAGTGACTCCAAATCTGACGATGATAAAATTCTTGATATGGCTTGCACTTTTCATATGTGTCCAAACATGTATTGGTTTGGAGCATATGAAAATGTTACAAGGGGTACTATGGTAATAGAAAATAATTTACCTTATAAGATAGCTGGTATTGTCGATGTCAGGATTAAGATGTTTGATGGGAAGGTCGGAACACTTGGTAATGTGAGACATGTCTTGAAGAGAAACATTATCTTCTTGAGTGCTCTTGATTCAAATGGATAAAGGTATATCAGTGAAGATAAAGTTCTGAAAGTTAGTAAGGGTGCCAGAGTCATGATAAAGTAACAGAAGAAGTCTTGATTATATGTCTTACAGGTTTCCATGAACACGGTTGATGAAGCTATCATCGAAGGAGATGTTAGACCTTAGGAGAGGTACGATGAGGCTGATATGGTTGCCTGTGGTCTAATGACCGTTGGCTCAGATGGAGCTAGTAGTGATCGGGTTGTTCGTGGGGGTAATTCGAGCATGTTTGTTAACTCGGGTGGAGTTGGTAGTTAAAGGGATCACTTAAGCCGGTTTGGGGCCCGAGGTAGTTTTGCTGGTAAGCAGAGCTTGGATTTTTGTTCACAGTTGTTGATTATGGGATGGGTTAATTGATAAAATGAACAAAGTCTTCTTGACTTGGAAGCTCGATTTAAAAATTATCAAAATTTACCAGGATTGAAATTTGATTAGAAAATGACTTTGGAATGGATAAAAAAAAGCCTTAAAGCATTTTTGGGACAGGGAGATGGTGCCTAAGTCAAGGTGCCTAGGCATCCCCAAAAAGTGAAGACAGGTAGGGAATCAACACCTAAGCATCGACCAGCACCACTAGTTCAAACAGAATCTGTTTTCTATGGATTCTTGTATTCTACTTCATTCAAAGCACTTGTAATGAGTTACTATACATATTCCACGTGATATAGCCTTGAGATATGATAGTAAGACATTGTATAGCATTGAGAAAACATCAAAGTAAGAGGATTTAGGTTATAAAAAGAGAGGCTTGCATATTTCAGGATAGGTTGAGAGTCTTGAAAGATCTTTTTATACTTCTTTACTATTGATCATAGTGAATTCTCCATATTTATCTGTGGTTTTCCCATACTTTGGTTCACATAAATCTTGTGTTCTTGTGGGATTCATTATTTTCATCTTGCTTATATTTCTTATCTTTAATATTCATAACAAGTGGTATAAGTTCTATCACCCGGTCATTGCAAATTGCCTAAATCTATAATGGTACAACTTGATTCTTTGTTCATTAGGAATTGAAGATGGGAGAACGAGTAGACATCGAACAATTTAAGGCCCAAGAAGCAAGAAGTGGATTAAGAATAGAATGAATGTCCAATAGGAATCCAGTTCATCTTCATCATCATTTACATATTAATGAGGTGTCAGAAAGAAAGTGGGGGATACACACACACAACACCAATCTACTAAGCACTGTGCTTAGCCTATGCTAAGCATCGTGCTTTGTTGGCAGTTCATTGAATATGGAAATATTTATTTTAATATATTAATGAAATAAAAAAAATCAATAAATCAACATAAAATGGAAACATAGATAAATATGGTAACCAAAAAGTGGAAGAATAATTTCTGCTTTTCATCTCTTCACGACGTCCTCTCGTCTCCCCTCTCTCTTGCCTAAATTACTCTGGAATTTGGCTTCAAAAAAAGTGCAGAATAATTTCATGTTTGTTGCACGATAGTGGATTGCGATGGTCTTCATCTCATCTTTCAAGGGTAAGTTATTATTTTGATTTTGATTTTGATTTTGGGTGTGTACATTAAAAATTGGTACAATGTTCCTTTTTCCCCCCCACATAAAAGCTGTTACCATATTTATATAAATATCAATTTGTGTATGAAAGAGAAAAACTTTTCCATGGGTTTTTACGAATTATTTTCAAATGTAGTTTTATTGGAAATTGCAGAAAGTCGATAGAATTTATTGGGCTGTACTTTAAAATGTAGTCATTGCAGAACTTTGCATATGATAGGTATTTGCTAGAATTTAAAATGTAGTTTAATATGTTTAATTTATTGGACAGTTTGCATGGCTGATTATATTGGATAGATAGTCTAAATTAATAATATTTTTTTTCTGAAAAGTGTCAATCAAGATTTTCTTATATATCCACTGTTTTAAACATATGAACAGTAATTTAAATTGTCATTACTTTTTAGGTTAAACTTAATTTTCATAGACGATGAGACTTCAATTCAAACATTCACATCCAAGTTGCGGACCAACGAAAGCCTAAAGTTGGGCATGAGTTTGAAACAATTGAAGGTGTATATGAGTTTTATAACACATATTGTTACATCTCACTCATTATAGTCAAAGTAAAAAATTCTATTGGTCAAAGTCAAAGTTGAACGAGGACTTAAATTAAGTAAAATAATTTTATGTGGTCTAATTTGTAACTACTCATACTTAAATGGTCAGAAATAATATCAAATAAAAATTTAGAGATTCAATGTTTTATTATTATAATTAAAAGACTAAATGTTACCTTATGTGAAGTTTGGTACTTGACTAGTAATTATACAATAATTATCCACTTAAAGGATAAGTAATCCATTTTCTTGTTTTGGAAAGAACTAGAAGCTGAGAAAGGAAGCAAAAGAGAGAAAACCGGTGGAAGAAAAAGGAGAAAAGAGAAAAAGAGAGAAAGAAAAAAGGAAGAAAAGAAGGAGGTGCCGGCCGACTATGTGTAGGAGGTGGGATACACTTCTTCAAGTATTGGGATCCTCATTTCTTCTGAAATCTCAAGTGGTTAAGTTTTACACAAACATAAATTTCTTATTTTGGTTCAATAAGTGGAAATAAGTCCAATTTCTTGATGTTTTGGTGTGAATAGCTATTTTTGGAAGCTTTTTAATTATGTGAATCAAATTTATACTAACTTTTGGGTTTGAGCTTTGTGGGTGAAAACATTCAGCAAGTAATTGGGTGTAAGATTCAAAGTTGAATAAAGGAACCAATTCAAGTGAGGAATGGTGCAAGCTAACTATGGCTTTTGTATGTACACAATGGTTGAAATTATTGAAGTGGGACTTACCTAATTACATAGTTTTATGCAAGTGTGGGAAGTAGTAAAATGATGAAAGGAAGGAGATTATATAAAGTTGGTACAACTATGTGCATATTAATTATATTAATTGGAATTGTGTAGTTGGAAGTAAAGTACGACTACATGATTTGAGGTTTAATTTATCTATTAATTAAGAAATTTTAGGCTATTTTCCAGCAAGGAAATGCACTGGTGCTACTTTTGAAATTCTATCCAGAAAGTGTTGTTTTTGTCAAATATTTTAGAGGCAGTTTTCCATAAACAGGAAATGGTGCCAGATTTCTATATTTTGGAAAATATAGTGCTAATATTGATAATCTTTCAACTTTCTTGTATTTTTTAGTATGAAAACCAAATTAAGTATTAAATATTTGGGATTAGATGTTAAAATAACTTATATAAAGGTGAATATGTTATTAGTGAACCTAATTGGGATTATGGGATTGCATTGAAAATAAAAGACTTCAAGTTCTTATTAGTAAATTATTACTTCTAATGGTAGGAAATATGTTTAAAGCACCTTAGTGATGAGATATGATTTCTTGGGACGAATGCGGAATGTCATACTTGATATTTGAAGTTGAAGCGGTGACAAGAAGATTGAAACCATAAATGACCATGACTTGGTGAGTGGAAAATATATATATATGTTTAAAGTATTTATAAATTAAGTGTATTATTAAAGTATGTGTAATTATGTATTCGATTATATGATTATTATGGAAATCTCTTTTATTATGATACATTTGGAATCTCAAAGATTATTTATAGCATATTTGTGATTTGGCATGTGAGACATGTAATATTAAGATCGGCCAAAAAAGTACTCATGATTATATACTTTTTCTAATTCACAAAGGGGCTTTGGCCATATTCTATCCTGAACTGAGGGGTCTTGACCTGACATTGGTCTTGACCGCTTACATATAGTTCACAGAGGGGCCTTGGCCGTGTTCTATCATACACAGAGGGGTCTTGACCCGATATTGGTCTTGATTGTGTACATATAGTTCATAGAGGGGTTTTAGTTGTGTTCTAGAATTGATTACCAGAGGTCTTGAGACTGACTTTCGTTCACAGAGGGGCCAAAGCCCCATGACGAAAGTGCTTGGCCCGAGGGATGGATTTCAAATTTTAATCAGAGGGTACATTTTTGGTGGATCACATGTGAGTTGATGAGATAATGGTATAGATATCAGCTGATGGCTATATCATGATTATGAGATGATATTTACAGTGTTATGAGAATGTTTCACTTTTTGGCTATAATTATATGAGTCTATTATGTGAATATTAAACGATATGAATTGATGTTTGGTAAAAATGTTTAAAGGAGAAAGTATAATAATTTTTGAACTCTTTCACTCACTGAGCTGTCAACTCATATATTCCCAAAATTATTCTTACATGTAATATTGATCATTGATAGCTTGAAGAGCCTAGTGATTTAAGAGTTAGAGCCACGTGACATATTGAGTGATATGATTCATTTTTGTAAAATATGAAGTAATTATTTCGAGCCCATTGCACTATGTTTTTATAAATATTTGATTTTGTCGCATATTTTGTAGTAACTCATAGTCAGCATTGGTGGTGGATCTGGCATCTGGTCAGCATTTACCATCGGCGCACATCACGTTTTGGGTCCATAGGTTGATTCGGGACAGGTCGTGTCACATATGCGAGAGAAGTTGGATTTAGTGCGAGATTGTTTAATAGTAAGAAGAGGCCAGGAACGAATGAAGTCTTTTTGAAACAATTTGTTTGCTATAAAGAAGGAGAGACAGATAATACATACATATCTGAAGAAGTTTAAACACATGGTTGAACAATTGGGCGAAAGACATATGGGAGTCATTCAGGTGGTTACAAGGCTAAGTTAACTATAGTTAGACCAAAATCATCTGTAAATTGGATTGTTAGTAGCTTTGTGGAATCTTATAATCATGCACTCACAACTCCTACAAGAGTTCACTTATTAAGATCTCACCAGCATGTTTTAAATGCAAAAAAGGCATTAGTACATCAATTCTCAAAAGAAAATTTATCAACGAGTCAACAAAAAAGTTTGATGGAGATTGGATTCGGGGGTCCTCAAAATATTAGATATTCGGAGAGAGACATCAGAAATTATGAAAGATATTTGAGAGAAGAAATGAAGGGAATTGATGCTGAGCTATTGATTGAACTATTTTCATTAGAGAGGAAAAAAAATCTAGGCTTTTATTTTGATTATGATAGAAACAATGAAGGAAGAATGATTAGATGTTTTTGGTCTGATTCTTGCTCGAGACGAGCATATAACTTTTTTGGTGATGTTGTTATTTTTGATACTACGTATAACACAAATAGATATGGGATGATTTTTGCTCCGTTGACTAGAGTCAATCATCATTGTCAAACTATAATATATGGATGTGGGTTTTTAAGTGATGAGACAATAGAGTCATTTATGTGGTCATTCAATCATTGGTTGACTGCAATGCCTAAAGGTGCACCTCAAATGATCATCACTGGTCAGGATCCTGCATTGGCAAGAGAAATTGCCGAAGTTCTTCGAAATACTTCTCATTACTATTGTATATGGCATATTCAAAATAAGTTTTCTGAAAAATTGAATATAATAATATATCGGGACAACTACCATTTGATAAAGAATATTATTTAAATTCAGAGACTATTGAAGAGTTTGAAACCAATTAGTCAAATATGTTGCACTTGACTAAATTGATAGATAATGATTGGCTTCATCAAATATATGAATTGCGTGCCAGATGGTCCCTGCATTTGTTAAGCATATTTTTGCAGCTGGAATGTCGAGCAGCCAAAGAACTGAAAGTTCTCATTCATTTCTCAAAAGGTACATTTCGAAGGAAAACTCATTGATGGATTTAATTATACGCTTTAACATATCACTTAGACATCAAAGACATCAAGAGTTGATGATTAATCATTAATGAAAAACCAAAATTGAAATCCTTGTGGCCAATGGAGGTGCAAATGTTGAAGGTTTATACAAGAAAAGTTTTTCAAACTTTTCAAGATGAGATTTTTGAAAGTCAAGCTTACATTTAAAATACATTATGTGAAGATGAATCAAGTGTGACTTATATTCTTGAAGGGGTTGATAAATCTTTTACATCAAGATCTCGAAAACTTATTCACAATAAGTTTTTAGATATTGTACACTGTAGTTGTCAAAAACTTGAATGTGAAGGAATTTCATGCAGACATATGTTGGTGTACTTTAGGGTCAAACAAATATTGCAATTGCCAACTCAATATATTCTTCAAAGGTGGACCAAAAGTGCAAAGATTGGTAAAGTGTGGGACAAAGATAATGAGGAACTAAATGAAATTCCAAACCCATCATTGATGTTAAGACATTCTAAACTATCTCAATTTCTTCTATTGTGGTTGATGATGCATCTCTCACTGAGGAAAGAGCTAACCTCTTGGTAAATGCGTTGGAAGAGCTCCACAGAAAAATATAGGAGATTAACATCGGCAATGGTATTGAACATGTATCCATCGGACAAACAAGTTTTGAAGAGCGTGTAAATATCAATGAACCACAACAAGTAAGAGCAAAGAGGTGCAGAAAAAGATTAAAAAAGTCAAAAGAGACAACAATGAGTAAAGAGAGAGTTTGTCATGGATATGGGCTTCGGGGCCAATCACACGATAAGAGAAATTGGCCAAAATTACTCGAAAGGTATTTTCTATTTTATCATAACCTTGCTTGGATTTACTAATTTCGTTATTAATGAGTTAATGCTACTATTTTTTAGATCCTTTGGGTCCAAATGACGAAGTTCCCTACAATTTCATTTTACAAAATTCATGTAAGTCATTTTATCTTCATTTGTGACAACTTATCAAGGTGCTGTATTTGTGATAACATTCATGTAGGTGGATTGATTTGCCTTTGATTCATTAACATATGGAAGCATCTTTGTTTTCTGGATGCAGGTCTATACCCGCAATGTTGAAAAATTATAAATTCTGTTTTGGGGTGTGGCTTGAAGCATTGAGAATCCTAGACGAACAAGTTCTCATCAACAATCCATCTGAGAGTTACAAGGTGTTCTGACCAATCTTTGTAGCCATTTCTCACATGAAGGCTATGAGAAGTTTACAGCTTGAATTTATTCTATTTTAAGCAATTTAAGACTGTAGGTTTATTTTGTAATTCTGCTTTTTTTAATGTGTGAAACAGTGAATAGAATCATGTCTGGTCGGCATTTGTGCTCTAAATGTTCATTCAAATGTCTTGATTCACCATTTTATACCTCTTTTGCGAGTAGAACAATGTGTTACGATGCTAAATCAAATTGAATGATGACAAGCCATTTTCATTCTCTAACTGAACTCTGTATAATGATTTTATCTAATGGAACTTCCAATCACGTTTCCATCTAACATACGTCTAAATATTATTGAAGTAGAATTTACATTTCAATTGTTGAATATTTCAAAACTGATTCCAAAACTGATGCGGATAGCCACACCCATAGATATTATGCACCAGAAAACTCAATAGCAAAATAATGGAAAAGGTCATGGATGTAGTAAAGTAACATAATAAAATACAAAGAGGAAAAAAAAAAAAAAAAAAAAAAAAAAAAAGAAAAAAAAAAAAAAAAAAAAAAAAGAACTTACGTTTGAGTATCAGCAAAAAAATAAAATGGAGAGAGATTTGAACTTTTCCACATTTATCTATGTTTCCATTTTATGTTGATTTATTGATTGTTTTTTTTATTTCATTAATATATTACAATAAATATTTTCATATTCAATGAACTGCCAACTAAGCACGGTGCTTAGTAGATCGGCGCTATATATATTGATAAACAAATTCATAAGTTGTGTTGTACATATAGCACAATCGTAAAATTAACGTTAAGTGATTGACGAGTCTACCCGAGATTACAATTTCACAATGCACGTACAATTTTATTTTGAAAATCAAAATCTTTAATTAAGCTCTTGTTTGTTAGAAATTAAATCAAAATTTTAATTCAAATCAACATTTTAATAATGCATTTCATCTTGCTTCTATTAAAATCTATTAAATATTCGATTTTAATCCCCACTAAATATGGTTGAAATTATTGTATTTTTCTAAAGCTATTATTATTATTATTATTATTATTATTATTATTAAACCACTAAACAGAGACATTCTTACTTCCCGACGGAGAAAAACATCTATAAAGAAAAAGAGAAGTTTAGAGCTCCAGACATGGCGGTTCTAGGGTTTTGAGTTAAAAATTTTCTAATTTGTTAATATTTGTACGATGGAAATGCTAGGTAGACAATCAAGTTATACTTTATTAAGTCAAACTGGTTTGCAGAGGCATTCGAGCGGGTGTAGCTTAGGAGATAGTTCAATCTCGGGAGACTACTACGTTCCTTCAATTCCTTCAAACCCTGAGATGGCGTCTTTTCGGCCATATTATCAATGGCGGAAGCGGTGGATTAAGGGGGAAGTTAGGTGGAGGTGAAAAACGCTCGTGGTCTTCAAAGAGCTGGGCATAGCAGACACAGGAAAGTTGCCAATTGCAGGTAGCTTTGACTCTTCGGCTATCCTCAACAGCTACTTGCGTTGATGACCTCAATTTCTTGGATCCCGTGACAAATGAATCAACATTGTGGGCGGCTTCTTCTCCTACCTCCGGCAAGACCATGTCCTAGTGGCGGCCCTGACTATAGTTGGAGTAGATGATCGCCTAAGGCCCCGCTTTGATAAGGGCCGCAAATTTATAAGGTTAATTGATTGGTTAAAGAAAAACGAAAAACATATTTATAAAATTCTTTAAAATAGAATTATCACATGTAAACACAATAAACTAATAAAAATTGAAAATAGAAAACTCTTTTAAAAACATATATATGACATAAAACTTATCACTTACATTTATTTATCCCATGAATATATCACAAACTAGGCTTTTTCTCTCTATGACTAATTTCACACTTTATTTTCCAAACACTTCTTTTCTTTTCTTAACCAAACAAAAAGGTCTATTTGTCTCTTCAAATTCCACCTACCCATCATAATTTTTTGAACCCAACAAGAAATAAAGAGTATTGTTATTTACAGTCACTCACTGTCATAGTTGACCTACGTGGTATTCAAGTGGCAGTTAGTAATTTGATGCATTAATGTGGTATTTTTTTGCCTTACACATCAAATCACTAATCTTCATGTGTATGGACATAGGGTGACTACAGTAGTAAGCGACTGCAAATAGCATTATTTGAAAATAAATTGTCTCCATTTGAATTAAAATTTTGAAGATTCAATTTGATATATTGGTATGGCCTCACTGCCATTGTTACGGCCTTACATATTTATTTCTTTCTCTCTTATCGTCAAAATATATACTACATAGTATATATGCTGTTATTATTATTATTTTGCTTTAATCTCATGATAATATCCTTTTTAGATGTTTGTTGAATTTAATAATTCTTCATCCGTATTTATACTTCTTATTTGTATATTAACTTCTTATGAATTAATATAAAATTAGAGTGTATTTGATCGTCATTTTCATTATTTTGTTATATTATCTCTCGCAATCAGCATTATCCAATTTTGTACATAAATTGCTCAAATGCACATTCAGTTTGAAAGAGTTGAGTGAGAAAATGATTAAAGAAATGAAAAGACCCATATGCCATTGTATTGTAATTTTGTTTGCTGAAACTTCGCTTATTATTTGTATTGTATGTTGAAATTTGACATTTTGTATCATCCTCTTCAAATTCTGGGACTTAGTTGACTGTATTAGATCATTCATAATTATATTAAAACTTTTTGTAAGAAGGCTCAAAATATAGGGGCCCCATATTTGAAGTTGGCATAAGACCCCCAAAATATCAGGGCTAGCCCTGCGGCATGTCCTATAGTTTTTGGGTAACACTTCCTATTAGTTTTGAAATAGAAGTGCAGATTCTCCCCCGGGGAGGGGGGAGGGGGGCTTTCTTTGTTTTCAAGTTGCCTTTTGTTATTGCATCTATTTGTGCATTATGATGTATAGGCATAGTGAAATATATTTATATTCTAAATAAGCGCTGGACACTCGTAACTTGAAACTACGAGGATTTGGGAATTGAGAAACGAGAAATGTAGCAGACAGACCTAAATTGGCAGGATATGTTGAAATTAATAAAAAATATATAGCTACCGAAATTAGTGGTTTGTCGAGGTAGAATGGTGGACTTGTGGAGGAAGCATGTGTGCTTCTTCATGGGTGAGCATACTTACAAATGCCTACGAAAAATTTCTCTCTATCAGTCAGACCTATTATATGCCTCATGAATTGGAAATACTTGCGAGTATCTCATTTTTGGAAAGAAGTAAGGTATATTGCATGATGAAATTGATCTCTAGCCTCCAATGGGGATAAGAACGTCTCACTGTTTATATGGCAAGAAAACCTTACTTATGGTTCTCTTGCAACAAGTAAGGTTCTCTTACAACATTAACAGTAGACGGTTTTTTCCTGTCCATTGGGGGTATGAAAGCAAGCCTGTATTGTATGTATCATACCAGTGTTAAAGGATCTTTTTGGCAATCTATTAATGGACGGGTATAGAATTTAATTACTACTGTGAAACAACCCTTAATTGAAATGCTAACAACTATCTAATATAATGACTATTTGGGGATCAAGTGTACACGTGGCATGCATTTAGATTAGTGTATTTTCAATTTGTACATTTGCGGAAGATTTCATTATTTTATTCATCAACAAGTTATCCTATAACAGAGCAGAATTAGTAATTTTAGTGAAATGTTCTTCGGGGATGCATGCCCTGTACCATTGGAACTCTAGGTATTTACCTATATGCTCTGGCGATCTCTTTTTTCTATGATAGCCAGGTAAGGAGAACAGAAATAAATGTGGTAAATATTGTTGGTCAGGGAAGTTGATTTCCTCCAAATATAGATTAGGGCATCACAATTTGGTTAAATTGGGTTAAACTGGAAAATGACAAAGAAATGATATTGGGTCTCAACGAGGTTATTATATGCACGTTGCAGTACGTTAGCTGCTGTCTCCAGGTTACAAAAATTGACTTATTTCCTTTACCTTTTTGGCTTTCTTGTCATTTACACGAGAATACGGTAAAGATTTGCAGCAGATGTTGGTTTGATTTATCTTGTTAGTCTAGGTTAAAACTTAATTTTTTTATTCTGCATNACACACACACACACACACACACACAACACCAATCTACTAAGCACTGTGCTTAGCCTATGCTAAGCATCGTGCTTAGTTGGCAGTTCATTGAATATGGAAATATTTATTGTAATATATTAATGAAATAAAAAAAAAATCAACATAAAATGGAAACATAGATAAATATGGTAACCAAAAAGTGGAAGAATAATTTCTGCTTTTCATCTCTTCACGACGTCCTCTCGTCTCCCCCCTCTCTTGCCTAAATTACTCTGGAATTTGGCTTCAAAAAAAGTGCAGAATAATTTAATGTTTGTTGCACGATAGTGGATTGCGATGGTCTTCATCTCATCTTTCAAGGATACGTTATTATTTTGATTTTGATTTTGATTTTGATTTTGATTTTGGGCGTGTACATTAAAAATTGGTACAATGTTCCTTTTTTCCCCCACCTAAAAGCTGTTACCATATTTATATAAATATCAATTAGTGTATGAAAGAGAAAAACTTTTCCATGGGTTTTTACGAATTATTTTCAAATGTAGTTTTATTGGAAATTGCTGAAAGTCGATAGAATTTATTGGGCTGTAGTTTAAAATGTAGCCATTGCAGAACTTTGCATATGATAGGTATTTGCTTGAATTTAAACTGTAGTTTAATATGTTTAATTTATTGGACAGTTTGCACGGCTGATTATAATGGATAGATAATCTAAATTAATAATAATGTTTTCTGAAAAGTGTCAATCAAGATTTTCTTATATATCCACTGTTTTAAAGATATGAACAGTAATTTAAATTGTCATTACTTTATAGGTTAAACTTAATTTTCATAGACGATGAGTCTTCAATTCAAACATTCACATCCAAGTTGCAGAGGAGCGAAAGCCTAAAGTTGGGCATGAGTTTGAAACAATTGAAGGAGTATATGAGTTTTATAACACATATTGTTACATCTCACTCATTATAGTCAAAGTAAAAAATTCTATTGGTCAAAGTCAAGGTCGAACAAGGACTAAAATTAAGTAAATAATTTTATGGGGTCTAATTTGTAACTACTCATACATAAATGGTCAGAAATAATATCAAATAAAAATTTAGAGATTCAATGTTTTATTATTATAATTAAAAGACTAAATGTTACCTTATGTAAGTTTGGTACTTGACTTGTAATTATACAATAATTATCCACTTAAAGGATAAGTAATCCATTTTCTTGTTTTGGAAAGAACTAGAAGCTGAGAAAGGAAGCAAAAGAGAGAAAAATCGGTGGAAAAAAAAGGAGAAAAGAGAAAAAGAGAGAAAGAAAAAAAAGAAAAAAGAAAAAAAAGGAGGTGCCAGGCGACTATGTGTAGGAGGTGGGATACACTTCTTCAAGTATTGGGATCCTCATTTGTTCTAAAATCTCAAGTGGGTAAGTTTTACACAAACATAAATTTCTTATTTTGGTTCAATAAGTGGAAATAAGTCCAATTTCATGATGTTTTGGTGTGAATAACTATTTTTGGAAGCTTTTTAATTATGTGAATCAAATTTATACTAACTTTTGGGTTTGAGCTTTGTGGGTGAAAACATTCAGCAAGTAATTGGGTGTAAGATACAAAGTTGAATAAAGGAACCAATACAAGTGAGGAATGGTGCAAGCTAATTATGGCTTTTGTATGTACACAATGGTTGAGATTATTGAAGTGGGACTTACCTAAATACATAGTTTTATATAAGTGTGGGAAGTAGTAAAATGATGAAAGGAAGGAGATTATATAAAGTTGTTACAACTATGTGCATATTAATTATATTAGTTGGAATTGTGAAGTTGGAAGTAAAGAAGAAATACGACTACATGTTTTGAGGTTTAATTTCTCTATTAATTAAGAAATTTTAGGCTATTTTCCAGCAAGGTAATGCACTGGTGCTACTTTTGAAATTCTACCCAGAAAGTGTTGTTTTTGTCAAATATTTTAGAGGCAGTTTTCCATAAACAGGAAATGGTGCCAGATTTCTATATTTTTTAAAATATAGTGCTAATATTGATAATCTTTCAACTTTCTTGTATTTTTTAGTATGAAAACCAAATTAAGTATTAAATATTTGGGATTATGTGTTAAAATAACTTATATAAAGGTGAATATGTTATTAGTGAACCTAATTGGGATTATGGGATTGCATTGAAAATAAAAGACTTCAAGTTCTTATTAGTAAATTATTATTTCTAATGGTAGGAAATATGTTAAAAGCACCTTAATGATGAGATATGATTTCTTGGGACGAATGCAGGATCTCATACTTGATATTTGAAGTTGAAGCAGTGACGAGAAGATTGAAACCCCGATCGACCATGACTTGGTGAGTGGAAAAAATATATATATTTTTAAAGTATTTATAAATTAATTATATTATTAAAGTATGTGTAATTATGTGTTCGATTATATGATTATTGTGGAAATCTCTTTTATTATGATACATGTGGAATCTCAAAGATTATTTATAGAACATTTGTGATTTGGCATGTGAGATATGTAATATTGAGATCAGTCAGAAAAGTACCCATCATTATATACTTTTTTTAGCTCACAGAGGGGTCTTGACCGTGTTCTATCCTAGACGGATGGGTCTTAACCTAATATTGGTCTTGACTGTATACGTATAGTTCACAGAGGGGCTTTAGTCATGTTCTAGAATTGATTACTAGAGGTCTTGAGACTGACTTTCGTTCACGGAGGGGCCAAAGGCCCATGGCTAAAGTTCTTGGCTCGAGGGGCGGATTTTAAATTTTAGTCAAAGGGTACATTTTTGGTGGATCACATGTGAGTTGATGAGATAATGGTATAGATATCAGCTGATGGCTATATCGTGATTATGAGATGATATTTACAGTGTTATGAGAATATATCACTTTTTGGCTATAATTGTATGAGTCTATCATGTGAATATTAAATGATATGAATTGATGTTTGGTAAAAATGTTTAAAGAAGAAAGTATAATTATTTTTGAACTCTTCCACTCACTGAGCTATCAACTCATATTTTTCTAAAATTATTCTTACAGGCAATATTGATCATTGATAGCTTGAAGAGCCTATGATTTAAGAGTTAGCGCCACGTGACATATTGAGTGATATATATTCATTTTGGTAAAATATGAAGTAATTATATTGGGCCAATTGCACTACATTTTTACAAACATTTGATTTTGTCGCATATTTTGTAGTAACTCATAGTCAGCCTTGGTGGTGAATCTGTTATCTAGTCAGCATCTACTATCGGTGCACGTCACGTTTTGGGTCCATAGGGTGATCCGGGATGGGTTGTATCCGAGTGGTATTAGAGCATGATTTATGAAGTTTTGAAAGTCTTTGTAGTTCATGCATTGACATATCATGCATAGTTAGTGTGTATGACTACATGTCGTGGTGGCAGAAATCACATGCACTCAAGCTTGAATGTATGGAACCAAAAATGACAAAAAAATATTTTTAACAGATCCAGAAAAGACTAATATGTAAATATGATAGTTGCAATGATCCGATGGTGGGAAATATTATTAGTTGTTGGGTTGAAATTATGGTATATGTAACATATTAAGAGTTAGACAGATTTTAATGATTTTACAGGTTGTTTATGTATCAGCATTTAAAGTGATAGATGGTACAACTACTTAATTATCAATTTATATGTTGAATTACTTGATATAGTTTCCACGACAAATAAAAGGGATATAATTCATCATGATTACTTATTATGGGATAATTCGTTACTCAAGAAATAGAATTAAATGGATATGTGCATTCAGGTATGTTTATGTGAATTAAAAAAAAAAAAAAGGAGTAGGGAATGGTAGAGTTGGAATTTATTGAGTTTGGAAAATTAACGTATGAAATCTTGATGATATATTGGTGTATGAAAGGTTCACAGGATAAATATGGGTTATTATTTAGTGATGTTAAGGAAAAATTGACATAATTAAATATTTTAGGTCTTTATATGACAAAAAATGGCTAGGTTACACGATCATAACATGATCTAGTGAATGACAAGTAAATGAATGTTATGGTTGTCCTATAGCGAAATAATGAGATGATGTATTTGGGTTATTAAGTTAATTGGTTTTGCCAAGGCCATTTGTTGAATTAGTATGTTATCTTATATACAATTTGAAAGCTTTAAGCCAAATTTTGAAGTTAAGGTGAATTCAATGAAGTTTTAATGATGTCAATTTTGAGTTATTTTTTTATTGTATTTTTAGATTTCATGAATAAAGTATTACATTCTTCTCGAAATATACACATTGTGGAACATATGATGATATGTTGGATAGCTTAAAGTCTAAGACGATCATCATGTAAATTTTATTCAATTGTGGAATGGTATCTTTAGGTTATAATCTTAATTGAAGGTCTTTGTGCGATATACAAGAAAGCTTATGCATTGGTGATAGGCTGATGGCCTCTTTATGGAATAAGAGTATAGAATTATCATGGATTAATTGTTATAATTGTTTCTTCATAGAAAGAAATAGCACCAAAATTGTGTGGATTTAAGGATGTAAAAAGTGTTGCTATCAGATTAAATTCTGAGGAAACATTTCTCTTGTATCAAAAGTTGATGAGGATTTGATTTATGATAATGAATTATGTTAAGGTTTAGAACGTGTTCTGAAGTAAAATGATGAATTATGAATTATATTACAGATTGTTGAAGAGACGTGATTAAAACATGATTTGGTATTCGTTATATTGAGATTATGTCACATTGCGAGAAATATCAACACTTATCAATCATTAGAGTTCAAGGTATATTTTATTCGAATAGTGGAAATGGAAATTGTATATAAATTATCATTAGGTGATATAGAATTAAAGGAAAAGAACACCATATTGAGCTATCTCAATTGTTTTGTTGGGGATAACTAGAATTTTAGAAAGTCATGAACAACTGAATTTTTGAAAATATTGTTAATTTAGAATGGAAGTAGTTACCCTCCAATATTTTTCATTTGGGGTTCCAAGAACACAAAATGGAGACAAATGATATTTAGATCATTACTGATAGATCTATAAGGGTTACAAGATTCTTTTCAAATGATATAGCCAGTTCTTGAGGCAGATTTATAAATTTTATATAGATAAAATTGTTATTTACATTGTGGAGTTTGAATATCTATCTTTGGCTTAGTTGTAGGGAGTTATGTAATTAAATAACATTGTGCAGTTTCTTTTAATAGAATGTCAAACACTATGAAGACGAGTTCCAAAGAGAGGCTACAACGATGGTTCTTAATTAAAGGAAACTTGGATAATCATTTATTTTTCATGGAGGTGACATATAAGAACTAAATGCAAGTGACGATAACTGAGATTATACATGATATTGGCATATTCCAAAGACTTGTTTATTGGGATGAATGATGCAAAAGAAAGTTATAAAGTAAATTACTACAAAGAAAGATGTTGATATAAAGAAAGATGTTGATAAGAGAATAGTTTAAATCATGACATAAAATGAAGATTTGGAGGACATGAAAAGTCGTTTCTTCAACTTTAGATTGGGAAATAATTGAATTTTCTAAGAATTGGTACAATGAAAAGTTGAGAATATTATATAATGTCTTTGAGATGTTATTTAGAACTTGGGTACAATTGTTTAATGATTGATTTTACAATGGGTTTATCTGGCTTTTAAGAATGGATTGTCTATTTCAAAGGCTTAGTAAGTAAATATCATATTTACCTGATTACTAGTTAATTTAAAGAAAGCTCAACCTAGAAAAAGCCAAATAAGATGCAAGATATGGGAAAAAAAATTGAAATTGTGTCTAATTAAAGGTTGCTAAAGAAAACATTCATTATGAGTACTTTATACCTTTATGTATTTTTAATTCTAGCTGGTTGAATTTCGAGAACGAAATTTTTTGAAGAGGGTAAGATTGTTACATCTCAGTCATTATAGTCAAAGTCAAAAATTCTATTGATCAAAGTCAAAGTCGAACGAGGACTTAAATTAAGTAAAATAATATTATGGGGTCTAATTTGTAATTACTCGTACTTAAAGGGTCAGAAATAATATTAAATAAAAATTTAGAGATTCAATGTTTTATTATTATAATTGAACGACTAAATGTTGCCTTATGTGAAGTTTGGTACTTGACTTGTAATTATACAATAATTATCCACTTAAAGGATAAGTAATCCATTTTCTTGTTTTGGAAAGGACTAGAAGCTGAGAAAGGAAGCAGAAGAGAGAAAAATCGGTGGAAAAAAAGGAGAAAAGAGAAGAAGAGAGAAAAATAAAAGGAAAAAAAAGGAGGTGCTGGCCGACTAGTTGTAGGAGGCAGGATACACTTCTTCAAGTATTGGGATCCTCATTTCTTCTAAAATCTCAAATGGTTAAGTTTTACACAAACATAAAATTCTTATTTTGGTCAATAAGTGGAAATAAGTCCAATTTCTTGATGTTTTGGTGTGAATAACTATTTTTGGAAGCTTTTTAATTATGTGAATCAAATTTATACTAGCTTTTGGGTTTGAGCTTTGTGGGTGAAAACATTCAGCAAGTAATTGGGTGTAAGATTCAAAGTTGAATAAAGGAACCAATTCAAGAGAGAAATGGTGCAAGCTAATTATGGCTTTTGTATGTACACAATGGTTGAGATTATTGAAGTGGGACTTACCTAAATACATAGTTTTATATAAGTGTGGGAAGTAGTAAAATGATGAAAGGAAGGAGATTAAAAGTTGGTACAACTATGTGCATATTAACTATATTAATTAGAATTGTGAAGTTGGAAGTAAAGAAGAAATACAACTACATGATTTGAGGTTTAATTTCTCTATTAATTAAGAAATTTTAGGCTATTTTCCAGCAAGGTAATGCGCTGGTGCTACTTTTGAATTCTACCTAGAAAGTGTTGTTTTTGTCAAATATTTTAGAGGCAGTTTTCCATAAACAAGAAATGGTGCCAAATCTATATTTTTGAAAATATAGTGCTAATATTGATAATCTTTCGACTTTCTTGTATTTTTTAGTGTGAAAACCAAATTAAGTATTAAATATTTGGGATTAGGTGTTAAAATAACTTATATAAAGGTATATATGTTATTAGTGACCCTAATTGGGATTATGGGATTACATTGAAAATAAAAGACCTCAAGTTCTTATTTAAAGTATTTATAAATTAAGTATATTATTAAAGTATGTGTAATTATGTGTTCGATTATATGATTATTATGGAAATCTTTTTTATTATGATACATTTGGAATTTAAAGATTATTTATAGCATATTTGTGATTTGACATGTGAGACATGTAATATTGAGATTGGCCAAAAAACTACTCATGATTATATACTTTTTTTAGTTCACAGAGGGACTTTGGCCATGTTCTATCCTAAATAGAGGGGTTTTGACCTGACATTGGTCTTGACCGCTTACATATAGTTCACAGAGGGGTCTTGACCGTGTTCTATCCTACACGAAGTGGTCTTGACTGTGTACGTACAATTCATAGAGGGGCCTTAGTCATGTTCTGGAATTAATTACCAGAGGTCTTAAAACTGACTTTCGTTCATGGAGGGGCCAAAGGCCCATGGCGAAAGTGCTTGACCCGAGGGGCGGATTTCAAATTTTGGTCAGATGGTACATTTTTGGTGGATCACATGTGAGTTGATGAGATAATGGTATAGATACCAGCTGATGGCTATATCGTGATTATGAGATGATATTTACAGTATTATGAGAATGTCTCACTTTTTGGCTATAATTGTATGAGTCTATCATGTGAATATTAAACGATATGAATTGATATTTGGTAAAAATGTTTAAAGGGGAAAGTATAATAATTTTTGAACTCTTCCACTCACTGAGTTGTTAACTCATATTTTTCTAAAATTATTCTTACAGGTAATATTGATCATTGATAGCTTGAAGAGCCTAGTGATTTAAGAGTTAGAGCCACGTGATTCATTTTTGTAAAATATGAAGTAATTATTTCGGGCCCATTGCACTATGTTTTTATAAACATTGGATTTTGTCACGTATTTTGTAGTAACTCATAGTCAATATTGGTGGTGGGTCTGGCATCTAGTCAACATTTACCATTGGCGCACGTCACGTTTCGGGTCCATAGGGTGATTCGGGACAGGTCGTGTCACATATGCAAGAGAAGTTGGATTTAGTGATTGTTTAATAGTAAGAAGAGGCCAAGCACGAATGAAGTCTTTTTGAAACAATTTGTTTGCTATAAAGAAGGAGAGACAGATACATATCTGAAGAGCTTTAAACACATGGTTGAACGATCAGGCGAAAGACATATAGGAGTCATTCGGGTAGGTTGCGAGGCTAAGTTAACTATAGGTAGACCAAAATCATCTCTAAATTGGTTTGTTAATAGCTTTGTGGAATCTTATAATCATGCACTCACAACTCCTACAAGAGTTCACTTATTAAAATCTCACCAGCATGTTTTAAATGCAAAAAAGGCATTAGTACAACAATTCTCAAAATAAAATGTATCAACGAGTCAACAAATAAGTTTGATGGAGATTGGATTCGGGGGTCCTCAAAATATTGGATATTCAGAGAGAGACATTAGAAATTATGAAAGAGATTTGAGAGAAGAAATGAAGGGAATTGATGCTGGGTTGTTGATTGAACTACTTTCATTAGAGAAGGAAAAAAATCTAGGCTTTTATTTTGATTATGATAGAGACAATGAAGGAAGATTGATTAGTTGTTTTTGGCCTGATTCTTGCTCGAGACGAGCATATAAATTTTTTGGTGATGTTGTTATTTTCGATACTACTTATAACACAAATAGATATGGGATGATTTTTGCTCCGTTGACTAGAGTCAATCATCATTGTCAAACTATAATATTTGGATGTGGGTTTTTAAGTGATGAGACAATATAGTCGTTTCTGTGGTTATTCAATCGTTGGTTGACTGCAATGCCTAAAGGTGCACCTCAAATGATCATCACATGTTAGGATCCTGCATTGACAAGAGCAATTGCTGAAGTTCTTCCAAATACTTTTCATTACTATTGTATATGGCTTATTCAAAATAAGTTTCCTGAAAAACTGAATACAATAATATATCGGGACAACTACCATTTGATAAAGAATATTATTTAAAAGAGACTACTGAAGAGTTCGAAACCAATTAGTCAAATATGTTGCACTCGACTGAATTGATAGATAATAATTGGCTTCATCAAATATATGAATTGCGTGCCAGACGGTCCCTGCATTTGTTAAGCATATTTTTACAGCTGGAATGTCGAGCAGCCAAAGAGCTGAAAGTCTCATTCATTTCTCAAAAGGTACATTTCGAAGGAAAACTCATTGATGGATTTAATTATATGCTTTAACAGATCACTTAGACATCAAAGACATCAAGAGTTGATGATTAATCATTGTGATATTAATGAAAAACCAAAATTGAAATCCTTCTGGCCAATGGAGGCACAAATGTCGAAGGTTTATACAAGAAAAGTTTTTAAACTTTTCAAGATGAGATTTTTGAAAGTCAAGCTTACATTTAAAATACATTATGTAAAGATGAATCAAGTTTGACTTATATTATTGAAAGGTTGATAAATTTTTTACATCAAGATCTCGAAAACTTATTCACAATAAGTTTTTAGATATTGTACATTGTAGTTGTCAACAACTTGAATGTGAAAGAATTCCATGCAGAAATATGTTGGTGTACTTTAGGGTCAAACAAATATTGCAATTGCCAACTCAATATATTCTTCAAAGGTGGACCAAAAGTGCAAAGATTGGTAAAGTGTGGGACAAAGATAATGAAGAACTAAATGACATTCCAAACCAATCGTTGATATTAAGACATTCTAAACTATCTCAATTTCTTCTATTGTGGTTGATGATGCATCTCTCACCGATGAAGGAGCAAATAGGTGCATGAAAAGATGAAAAAAATCAAAAGAGACAACAATGAGTAAAAAGAGAGTTGGTCATGGATGTGGACTTCGTGGCCAATCACACGATAAGAGAAATTGTCCAAAATTACTTGAAAGGTATTTTCTATTTTATCATAACCTTGCTTGGATTTACTAATTTCGTTATTATTAAGTTAATGCAACTATTTTTAGATCCTTTGGGTTCAAATGACGAAGTTCCCTACAATTTCATTTTACAAAATTCATGTAAGTCATTTTATCTTCATTTCTGACAACTTATCATGGTGCTGTATTTGTGATAACATTCATGTAGGTGGATTGATTTACCTTTGATTAATTAACATATGGAAGCATCTTTGTTTTCTGGATGTAGGTCAATACCCGCAATGTTGAGAAATTATAAATTCTGTTTTGGGGTGTGGCTCGAAGCATTGAGAATCCTAGATGAACAAGTTCTCATCAACAATTCATCTGAGAGTTATAAGGTGTTCTGACCAATCTTTGTAGTCATTTCTCACATGAAGGCTATGAGAAGTTTACAGCTTGAATTTATTCTATTTTAAGCAGTTTAAGACTGTGGGTTTATTATGTAATTCTGCTTTTTTTAATGTGTGAAACAGTGTCTAGAGTCATTTCTGGTGGGCATTTGTGCTCTAAATGTTCATTCAAATGTCCTGATTCACCATTTTAAACCTCTTTTGCCAGTAGAACAATGTGTTATGATGCTAAATCAAATTGAATGATGACAAGCCATTTTCATTCTCTAATTGAACTCTGTATAATGATTTTATCTAATGGAACTTCCAGTCACGTTTCCATCTAACATATGTCTAAATATTATTGAAGTAGAATTTACATATCAATTGTTGAATATTTCAAAACTGATTCCAAAACTGATGCGCATAGCCACACCCATAGAAATTATGCACCAGAAAACTCAATAGCAAAATAATGGAAAAGGTCATGGATGTAGTAAAGTAACATAATAAAATACAATGAGGAAAAAGAAAAGAAAAGAACTTACGTTTGAGTATCAGCAAAAAAATAAAATGGAGAGAGATTTGAACTTTGCCATATTTATGTTGATTTATTGATTGTTTTCTTTTTATTTCATTAATATATTACAATAAAGATTTCCATATTCAATGAACTGCCAACTAAGCACGGTGCTTAGTAGATCGGCGCTATATATATTGGTAAACAAATTCGTAAATTGTGTTGTCCATATAGCACAATCGTAAAATTAACGTTAAGTGATTGATGAGTCTACCCGAGATTACAATTTCACAATGCATGTACAATTTTATTTCGAAAATCAAATTCTTTAATTAAGCTCTTGTTTGTTAGAAATTAAATCAAAATTTTAATTCAAATCAACATTTTATTAATGCATTTCATCTTGCTTCTATTAAAATCTATTAAAAATTCGATTTTAATCCCCACTAAATAAGGTTGAAATTATTGTATTTTTCTAAAGCTATTATTATTATTATTATTATTATTATTATTATTATTATTATTATTATTATTATTATTGTTATTGTTGTTGTTGTTGTTGTTATTTTTAAACCGCTAAACAGAGACATTCTTACTTCCCGACAAAGAAAACCAACTATAGAGAAAAAGAGAAGTTTAGAGCTCCAGACATGGTGATTCTAGGGTTTTGAGTTAAAAATTTTCTAATTTGGTAATATTTGTACGATGGAAATGCCAGGTAGACAATCAAGTTATACTTTATTAAGTCAAATTCCTGACGACTCATGGTTACGGTAGCCTCCACATAGCCGGATGGGAGCGGTGGTGTTCCCTCCGTCAATTGGTTTGCAGAGGCAATCGAGTGGGTGTAGCTTTGGAGATAGTTCGATCTCGGGAGACTACTACGTTCCTTCAGTTCCTTCGAACCCTAAGATGGCGTCTTTTCGGCCATATTATCAATGGCTAAAAGCGGCGGATTAAGGGGGAAGTTAGGTGGAGGTGAAAAAGGCTCGTGGTCTTCAAAGAGCTGGGCACAGCAGACAGAGGAAAGTTACCAATTGCAGGTAGCTTAGACTCTTCGGCAATCCTCAACAGCTACTTGCATTGATGACCTCAATTTCTTGGATCCTGTAACAAATGAATCAACATTGTGGGCGGCTTCTTCTCTTACCTCCGACGAGACCATGTCCTAGTGGCGGCCCTGACTATAGATGGAGTAGATGATCGCCTAAGGCCTCGCTTTGATAAGAGCCCCAAATTTATAAGGTTAATTGATTGGTTAAAGAAAAACGAAAATTATATTTATAAAAACGAAAATTTATTTATCACATAAATATATCACAAACTAGGCTTTTTCTCTCTATGACTAATTTGACACTTTATTTTCCAAACTCTTCTTTTCTTTTCTTAACCAAACAAAAGTTCTATTTGTCTCTTCAAATTCCACTTACCCATCATAATTTTTTGAACCCAACAAGAAATAAAAAGTAATGTTATTTGCAATGACTCACTGTCATTGTCGACCTACGTGGTATTCAAGTAGTAGTTAGTAATTTGATGCATTAATGTGGTAATTTTTTTTTGCCTTACACATCAAATCACTAATCTTCATGTGTATGCACATAGGGTAACTGCAATAATGAGCGACTGCAAATAATATTATTTGGAAATAAATTGTCTCCATTTGAATTAAAATTTTGAAGATTCAATTTGATATATCGGTATGGCCTCACTGCCATTGTTACAGCCTTACATGTTTCTTTCTTTCTCTCTTATCGTCAAAATATATACTACAGCGTATATAGGCTGTTATTATTATTATTTTGCTTTAATCTCATGATAAGATCCTTTTTAGATGTTTGTTGAATTCAATAATTCTTCATCCATATTTATACTTCTTATTTGTATATTAACTTCTTATGAATTAATATAAAATTAGAGTGTATTTGATCATCATTTTCATTATTTTGTTATATTATCTCTTGCAATCAGCATTATTTAATTTTGTACATAAATTGCTCAAATGCATATTCAGTTTGAAAGAGTTGAGTGAGAAAATGATTAAAGAAATGAACAGACCCATATGCCATTGTATTGTAATTTTGTTTGTTGAAACTTCGCTTATAATTTGTATTGCATGTTGAAATTTGACATTTTGTATTGTCCTCTTCAAATCTTGGGACTAGTTGACTGTATTAGATCACTCATAATTATATTAAAACCTTTTGTAAGAAGGTTCAAAATATAGGGGCCCCATATTTGAAGTTGGCATAAGGCCCCCAAAATATTGAAGTGATTGCTTAGAGTATATTCAACTGTCAATTCTAACTCCCTCTTCTAATTCTAATTCAAAATGGTTGTGTGACGCATACCCCCCCCCCCCCCCCCCCCGGGGGGGGGAAGGGGGGGCGTTTCTTTGTTTTCAAGTTGCCTTCTGTTATTGCATTTATTTGTGCATTATGATGATATCTTTATATTCTAAATAAGCGCTGGACACTCGTAACTTGAAACTATGAGGATTTGGGAATTGAGAAACGAGAAATGTAGCAGACAGACTTAAATTGGCAGGATATGTTGAAATTAATAAAACATATACAGCTACCGAAATTAGTGGTTTGTCGAGATAGAATGGTGGACTTGTGGAGGAAGCATGTGTGCTTCTTCATGGGTGAGCATACTTACAACTGGCTATGAAAAGTTTCTCTCTATCAGTTAGACCTCTTATATGCCTCATGAATTGGAAATACGTGCGAGTATCTCATTTTTGGAAAGAAGTAAGGTATATTGATTGATGGAATTGATCTCTAGCCTCCAATGAGCATAAGAACGTCTCACTATTTATATGGCAAGAAAACCTTACTTATGGTTCTCTTGCACCAAGTATGGTTCTCTTACAACATTAACACTAGATGGTTTTTTCCGGTCCATTGGGGGTATGAAAGCAATCCTGTATTGTATGTATCATACCAGTGTTAAAGGATCTTTTTGCAATCTATTAATGGACAGGCATAGAATTTAATTACTACTGTGGAACAACCCTTAATTGAAATGCTGACAACTATCTAATATAATGACTATTTGGGGATCAAGTGTACACGTGGCATTCAATTAGATTAGTGTATTTTCAATTTATACATTTGCGGTAGATTTCATGATTTTATTCATCAACAAGTTTTCCTACAACATAACAGAATTAGTAATTTTAGTGAAATGTTCTTCGGGGATGCATGCCCTGTACCATTGGAACACTAGGTATTTACCTATATGCTCTGGCGATCTCTTTTTTCTATGATAGCCAGGTAAGGAGAACAGAAATAAATGTGGTAAATATTGTTGGTCAGGGAAGTTGATTTCCTCCAAATATAGATTAGGGCATCACAATTTGGTTAAATTGGGTTAAACTGGAAAATGACAAAGAAATGATATTGGGTCTCAACGAGGTTATTATATGCACGTTGCAGTACGTTAGCTGCTGTCTCCTGGTTACAAAAATTGACTTATTTCCTTTTCCTTTTTGGCTTTCTTGTCATTTACACGAGAATAAGGCAAAGATTTGCAGCAAATGTTGGTTTGATTTATCTTGTTAGTCTAGGTTAAAACTTAATTTTTTTATTCTGCATCAGTTAAATGGTTGATTATCATATTTTGACAAAGTTCCCGAGGGGTTTTACTCAATTAATGGAATGGGTCCTTTAGTTTGGACTTTCTGCTCCAATCTTCAAGAAAGTGGCCATATTCCATCAATTGAATCATTGAAGATCATGGATCCTTCAGCCTTGTCTTCAATTGAAGTCATTTAAGTAGATGGACATAATGATCCTAGCTTGAAAGAGCTGCAAAATTGGATTCATAATGTATCCCTCTAATTGCATCAACACAAAGGAAGTTGTTGACCAGCTTGCAAATCTAGTTTGCAATCGTTTTGGGGTAAGCTTTAGCAGTTTTTATCTTAAATATCACTCGTAAGTATATGTTTCTGCCTTATTCTTGTTATAATTAAGTTTTCTTGCTTTCTAAGGGTGTGCAGCTTCCAATAGTGAAGATGACTTGGTTACAAGCTGGAAAGAGCGTAGCAATGACCTGAAGGATTGCTTGGGATCAATTGTGCTCCCTATAGGTAGCCTGTCAGTTGGACTTTGCAGACGCCGTGCACTGCTATTCAAAGTAGGTTTTGATACTGTTTTCTGAAATACATATTTTGGTAGGATATGTATAATTTGATAAGGTTGCTGATTTTTTTGTTGGGGGGGGGGGGGGGGTTCATATAGATACCTGTATTTTACCTACAAATGCCAAAGTATGCCACGGCAAAATTTTAGTCATCATTGTTATTGGGTTTTTCCGTATCACATTTCTCCTTTAAAGCCCTAAGCGTCTCCCTTCTAGCAGGAGATTATTGCTCTTCCCTTCACTTACCCTACTTTTGCAAGTGCATGTAAACTCTTATTCTTTTGAAAGCTAATTTCCACTTTTGCTTTTGAATGCCCATTCAGAGTATTGGATTTCTAATTTGCACTAGAAATATGATTTCTGAAGGTTTTAGTAGACATGATTGGCTTACCCTGTCGAATTGCCAAAGGATGTAATTATTGTACTAGAGACGATGCATCCTCATGTCTCGTTTGGTTTGGACTCGACAGGTATATCTTATGACGTAGAGTAGTGTCATTGTCATGTGTATTTATTCACTATGTTGAGACAAAAATTTAAAGCTACTTAACCTGATGGAAAGAATTAAATTCCAAAACCATCTTTTATTAACTGTGACATTTAATCTGGCAACAGCATGGATTACCTTTTTAAGGGCTACGTTCTTTCAT